TAAAAGAATGTAGAATTTAAAATTACATATACAGAAGTGAAATTTTGTGATTGTGTTTATCTGCTACATATGTGCGAGGAGGCCTAAGTCCAGCCCATGTATGTTCTTTGGTTGGTGGTTCAGTCTCTGAGAGCCCCAAGAGACCAGGTTAGTTGACTCTGTTGGTCTTCCTGTGGAGTTCCCTTAGGGGCCTGCAATCTTTTCTCCTATTCTTCTGTAAGAGTTCCCAAGCTCCATCCACTATTTGGCTGTGGGTGTCTGCATCTGTCTGAGTTAGCTGCTGAGTGGAGTCTCTCAGAGAACAGCCATGGTCGACTCCTGTCTGCAAGCACATCTCAAGAGAACTAGCCAGTAGTTCCCCACTGAGGACTAAGCTCTATACCCATCTTTAGGGGACACTTGCCAAATTATAGGAATCTTCAACCAAAATGTTGAAAACACCTCTACTTGAAAGAGGAGAACACAAAAATAAAGAGATGGCAGCCCAGGACCACACAGCCAGAAGGACTTGAACTCTTGTTTTTGATTCTGAAGCCTGTGCCCTCTGTTGTCATGGTTATGGACTCCACAGTCGTTTAGCAGAGGGAGAGAATTAGAGCTTTTGGTATCAATTCATGAGTAAATATTTGCTTTTATCTATCCCATATTCAAATAGTATGAGTTCTCCTGAGATTGGTGGCTGGGGGTCAGCTGGATGCTGTAACTGTGTTTATTACTGTAGACTGGTAGCTGGACAAAGAGGAACCAAGGCTGAGCTGTCCTACTCATTGTTAGACCCAAAGCAGGGCATGTAGCAGGGAAACGGTATTACTGAATGAATCTTTGTACCATTTCAATAAAACTGTGGAATGCTTCTCTGATTAGATCACTCATACATGTAATGCTAAATAAACAAATAAAATCTCATCATCTAGTAAGAAGCAACGTAAGGGGAACTATGATTTTTTGGGCTCACAGTTTGAGGCTCCCATCCCTGATGGTGGGTAAGGCACCACAGAGTTCACCACAGTAGGAGTTATGTGGCTAAGGATTATTCATCTCTCTGGGGAGCAGGAAGCAGAGATCATCTGGGTCAGGTCCTCCCTGTAGTGACCCACTTCCTCCAGCTGGGGCTCACCTCCAGAAGATTCCACAACCTCCTAGAACTGTACTAGGAACAGCTGGGAAATGGGAACCTAGAGGTGACAGCTCATTGTGGAGGCATATGGATTTCTGGTGGACAGCCAGATTTCTTCTGCCACAGTGAAGAGTAAGCATGTTCTCAAGTGGTTATTTCCAAGTTGGTTGTCCATTTGCTCACAGAGTCAAGTTAGAAGTGTCATAATCTTAGGTAGTTCACCTATCCATACAGACCAGTAATAACTCACATGAGTTGTACTGCAGGCAGTTTGGAGCCTTTGTGAGATGGTTGGATTCAAATCCTGACTTAAACTGTCGTTGTTTGGTAACATGCAATGTAGCCAACCTTCGTTGATAGTCATTTTTCTCAACAGTGAAATAGGGACCACAGAAACACACATACACACACACACACACACACTCTTTCTGAACAAAGTTCTTTCAAGCCATGTAATAAAGGCCCAGTGAGGAACCTTGTGCTACTATAACTTGTGAGATGGTGTGGATGCTTCTGAGTACAGATGTTACAACATCTGTCCAGGGTCCAGCACAGAGCCAGAAGCTACCAGGCAGTATGATCAAGCTGCTGATAATTCCTTAGAACTCTGGTAGAAGCCTTGAGAGAAACACAGTAAACCGGAGTGCATTAGCCTCTGTCTACTGAGCAGACCCACACCAGCTCTGTGGAACACACTGACCACTGGCAGTGACAACAGTTGTTCCTATCACCGCTGACAGGACAGAGAAGTGACACAAAAAGAGGAGGAAATAATGGCTCCAGACAGTCACGGTGAATTTCAGGACAGGACTTGAACCTGGTTTGTTTGACTCTAGAACTCAAGCTCTGAACCAAGGAGCCTGGGGTCCACTGGGGATGCCACAGCCACCTATTCAAAGTTAGAGGAGGTAGTCTGTGGTAAAAAAAATAACCTCTCATGGGCTGGCAATGTCTCTGCAGATGAAGGCCTGATGGTCAAAGTTTGATCCCTGGGTGCCACATGGTGGGGGGAGAATGGTGACCTATCAAAGTTATCCTTTTATCTCCATACATCTGTATGTATGTACACACATATATACACAGAACAAATACATGTAATTAAAAAAACCCACACATATAGTCACACACATGTTTTGTGTTCCAGTTAACAATGCTACAGGAATTTAGGCTGAGCAGGAGCTCCCAGTGCTTGGACATGACCGTGTGCCACACACTCTACATGGGTCTTGCCTCCTTACCATTTAAGGAGGGGTAGCCTGGCATCAGCAGAGGGGGAACAGGTGGGGATTAAGTCTCGGTGCTGCTGTACTAGGTGCTTGAACTCCATACAAGCTAAGTAATGTCAGGCCACTCTCTAAACCTTTCTGATATGCCCGCCCCAACTGAAAACAGAAATTATAGTAGCTACCTTCCACAGCAGCATTTGCTGTTATAAAATGGTTACCAGCATACGGTAGGTTCTGTCCATCCGACAGATAAGGACAAAGCTCCTTGCACTTGAGAGTGACCCTTCCAGAATAGGCCATGCCACCATACCAAACAACTATCATCTCACTGGCTGAACACAGCAGAAGAGTATTTGCTCACGCTGCTTTTCCAATTCAGCCTTCCTGGGGACTTTTCTGTCCCCTTTACAAGGAGTCTCAGCTTGCTCCTACTCTGCATAGCTTGTCAAGATGACACAGGACATGGCAATTTACTCTGTAGCTAAGTTCCCAGTGGAAGATACAGTGATCGTATTTGCATGGAATCTTTTAACCTGGGCAAGTTATATAGCCAGACATGGCCTGAGAGAGGCAGTGGGGTAATAGTTTCCTACCATATCGTGGGGGAGAGAAGGGACCAGAGTGCTTGGCATTTTAATTACTAATGTAGACACAATCTGTTTACCTGAAAACCAAACTAAATGAAAATCAATTAGACCTACTTTAATAAGAAGAGCAAATGAAACTCTTAAGGGGTTAATTCATCCAGTCAATCCAGTGGGGGCCGGGGACTCTACCTGCAGGCCACCAACTTGTCTCTCAATCTACAGGCGGGAATGTCTACAGACTGTTTAAAATCAGGATACTGTTTCAGGATGGGGGCGGGGGGGGGCGAGGTGGGAGACTAGGGGATGGTGGTGGTGGCAGAGAGTCCCTGAAAGAGCTGGTGAAACGAACCGATCAAACAGATCGGAACAAACGTGGCCTTTGCGTTTTGTCTTATGTGAGTGCTTTTAAGGTAGGCAGCGACTGGCAGAGGGGTTTCAGGCATCAGTAAGATAAGTAAATAAAGTTTGGAGAGAAGATTATTATCAAGTCCAGAACGGAGCAGAAGAGTGGTGGTCGATAATGGGTACTGAGGTGTACTTCAGGCCATGACTCTGGCAGCAGGGGGCGGGGGTCTCGCGGAGGCAAGCTATTGCCTGAGTCCGGTGTAAGGTGATGAGCAGACAGGAGTGAAGACAGAAGGAATTTGGAGGGTGGGAGGAACCTGAGAGCTGCAGAAGGAAGCTCTAATACTTGCAAAAGACACCAGCTGCTCTCCCTATTATTCCCACCCTAGTCTGGAACAATGTAATTTATGTGAAATTACTTAAAAATTTGTCTTAAGATACCTTTAATTATCCCCCCCACCCCCCGTGTCTTATTTTCCTTCCTTCATTTTAGGAGACCCAGGGCAGCTTGGCTGGGCGGTCTTCCTGCCTGGCCTTCACCTGGTGGGATGAGATCTGGCCTTTTTTGTCAAAGGAAAATTCCCATCGCCTCAGGGGGTCAAGAGGCCTCCAAGTGGCCTCTGGCTTGGACAAGGAATTGCTCAGTAGGCCTAGGCCCTGGCTTATCACAGAGCCATGGTTCGTCCGCCTCAGAAAGGTACCTTCCTACTGGTGCTGGGCAGCTCAGGGGACCTAGCTCCATCCAGGCCCCTTCATCTCTTCAGTGGTGGTCCCTGTCAGACTCCCGGACTTCACCGGGAGATCGGAGCCCTGGCGAAGGGCCGGGTTCCTCCTTCGAGCCTCCCTTCGTTCTTGACTCCGCCTTTCTCCCTGAGAGAGCCGGGGTCCCGAGAAGCATCCCTCCCGGGGACTTTCCAGGCTCCCGCGATTACTCCAGGAAGGCGCAGCCCTGACCGTGCCGGAGCTGGGGACCTGCAGGGCCTCGGCGGCTGGAGGGGACCATGACTCACCGCCGGTAACCCAACACCGCTGGGCCTCCTTTCCCCAGCCTCCCCCAGCTCCCGCGGGCCTGGCGGCCACACCATAGCAAATATGAAGAAGAGTGGCCCGGGAGGCTGCAGCCCCCGGCCACAGAGCGTGCGCCTGGCTCTATGCGTTGTCGCCTCTGCGGCCTCGGGGCCCCGGGAGCTTTATCCGAGGCCGATCGGCCCAAGCTAGCTGCGGACCGCCCGCAGTAGCTCCGGAGGGTGAGTGCGGGACACTCAGGGAGGGGATAAGCGCACTGACGACCTCTATCCTTCCACCTCGACCCCACCCGGGATCTTGAGTCCCCACCCGGCGAGGACAAAGCGGCCTGGCCGCCGCCCCGGCCTGCGCCGCGCTGCACAAAGAGTGAACGACGACACGCACCCCGCCCCCTCCCAGAGCGGTGGCCAGGCGCGGAGGTGGGGACACCCGGGCGCCCGCCCCGCGCTCCCCTCTCGCCCCGCCCCGTCTGCGCGTCCTCCTGGCGCGGGGGCGGGGGGCGCGGCGCCCCACATAACACTCCCCTCCAGCGCGCGGAGCCACCCTCTCCCCTCCTTCTCGCCAACACCACCGCCTCCCCTGACACCGCTGCCACCTCGCCGGACGCTCCGCAGATTGCCGCGGCCGGCCAGGGGGCGGTGCGCCGAGCGTGCGCGCCCGGGACGCCAGATGTGCAGTCGCCGCCGCCGCTAGTGCCCCAGCGGCAGCCAGAGCCAGGTCGGGTCGTCTCAGCAATGCTGCTGCGGGGGCGACCTTGAACGCACACTGGTTTCCCTCGGCGGGGACCACCCCGAGCCCCTGTGCTGGGTCCTGCCCTCTCCAGCTCGGCTCGCCCCGCGCTTGGTCATGGAAGGGGCGGCAGTGTCCGAGGCAGGGGATGGCCCTGCTGTGGAGACGGGCTTGCCCGGCTCTCCGTTGGAGGCGGTGGCCGGGGCGACTGCAGCCCCAGTGGAGCCCAGGAAGCCGCACGGGGTGAAGCGACATCACCACAAACACAACTTGAAACATCGCTATGAGCTGCAAGAGACCCTGGGCAAAGGTACCTACGGGAAAGTCAAGAGAGCCACCGAGAGGTTTTCAGGCCGAGTGGTGAGTAAGGGAAATCCCTGGAGGGGTTCGGGCTAGTCCCGTGGTGGACCAAGAGGGGGGAGACGATCTGGGGACACCACACCACCATGAGGGGTCTCGGTTGAAGCCCCCCTAGTCACAGTCTTCACTCCGCTTTCAGCACCCCGTGACTCAGGTGTATATCTCCGAAAACACTTGTTACATCCTGTCTGCACGTATTTTGGGGGCTTCCCTCGTTTTTATCCCAGCTAGCAAATTGGTGTTTAGGATTTGCAAACATTTTGCAGCTTTGGGAACATGAGGTCTTCCCTGAAGATACACCTTCAGACCTCCTTGCCAGGGAGTTCCTTATTTGTATAACTCCAAAAAGACCTACATCCCCAGCCGTGAAGCTGGACTCTTAAGCGCTATGTTCTGTAGTTGCTCCGGACCCTCACTTCTTTCCCGTTTACCCACAGTCCCAGGTCTCTGCATCTTTTCACTGGGATGCTTGATTACCCCGATGCTGCTCTTGCTGCAAAAGATGACAGACTCCTCCTGCCTATCAAACCTAAAAGCCACTATTGAATGTCTGAGGGTTTTTTTTTTTTTTTGACAGTTTGCATTCCGGCCTCTGGCAAGCATGATGTACCCAGGGCAGGCAAGGGGTGGCCATTCAGAGCTGATTTTCAGCAGGCTCGCTTGCCTTACCAGGTTCCGGCTTCAGGACTACTAAATTGTTCAAGTGGTCTGGCTAGCCGCCTCCATGACAGCTGAAGCCCTGCCATGGTGCCTCAGGGGCTCAGTGTTGTCCCAGCTTTGGCTTGTTGTCTTCCCCCTCTGCAGAACAGGCCCTTGAAATCCACACTGCTTGTGGCTACAGTCGATTCAAAGTGACTGTTGCAGAAAGACTTTGTGTGGTGTATGGCAGAAATGTACATGGTTCTTTGATTTAAAGCATATCAGATGTATTTTAATCGATTTAGGGCCAAAATCAGAAACTATTACGCTTCTCATGTGCAGTTTTGAGGGTAATCAGGGAGGATACAGTTGCTTATAAACCTAACCAGTGGCTACAGGGAAGGGCAAAGTGAACTGTCAGCGTGTTGGTATTATTTCTTTTATACTTGTATACAGACGATTCTGTGGAAACTGTGGTCAGCAAGGTTTGCTCTCGTAATCTCAAATATGTGACCAGCTGCATAAGCCTCCAGTTTTCAGATTCACTGCCCAGGTTGACACGCTTTATCATTTTTAAAAAGTCTGTTATCAATGAGTTGGAGATAGGGGTTTGTGTTCTTAAAATAATCTGCTCTGCCATACACGAATCTTATGACAAGCTGCAGAGCAATCTCGCAGGTGCCCTTTGCTTTATAGTCTGACAATTCTGCGTGTCGTGTGGGGATGGTTGCAAAGGTATTCTCTGCCGATGGAAGCCTGAGAAGCACGCTTCCTTCACGCTTTTCTTCTGAGGTGATATTCCCCAGACTGGATATTGACTAAGCAAAAACTTAGTGTAGCTCCTTTACCTTGTTGTCTTAATAGCTGCTGAAGAATCGCACTGGGAAGTTGGGAAGCAGGATAATGAAAAACAGACGCAGTCTGAGGTGCAGGTTGAAGATGTGAGAATGTGAGGGGGAGGGCGGGTCTGGAATCTGTGGTGGGGACCCTCACACCTAAGTGTTCTGTGAGTCAGCTCAGCTGAGCTTGGAGTTTTTGTGGAATAGGCTTGCCTTCTGAGCTCCATTGTGGCTTCCAGTGAGGCATTCTTTTAGCTGTCTGATCCACAGGCTGGGTTAGACTAGCATTGGTAGGCAGACGCCTGCCTTCCTCTTTTGATGGGTGTCTGGAAACATTCTGCCAGGGTTTAGCTTCATGGCCACTAGGGGGCGCCCAGAGAACGACAGAGTCTCATTTCTCCTCTGGAAGACCAGTCAGCTGTTATTGTCTGGTTCACCCATTGTGCTATTAATTTCAGAAAATCTCTTGTTTTACTCAAAAATTATGTAAAGATTTTGAAGCTGGCAGCAGAATTCAGGCTCAGGAACTGACAGTTACCAAACAGCTTCACTTCTCCATGGGTTTGTTTTCGACTTGAGAGCTAAGTTGAGAATGTTAGCAAGACCTTCTTGTTTTTAGCTGATAGGAACCTGAGGTCTGGGGGCGGGGAAGAAGTCCTCCCGGGACCTGCATCCTCCTCTGATGAGTGCACTGTTCACAGATGGCAGACGAGCTCAAGTGAAGAATGAGAATTGTCAGGTGGAAAATTCCCCACGACTGGCTGAATAGAAGATAATAGAACCACAACCCAAAACAAAACAAAAATATTGGTCCGCATTGGGCTTGCCCATTCAGTGCCTGGTGACTCAGTGTCAAGAGCAGCAAAGAATTTGATGAGATTAGTGTGACATCCTTCCCTTGCCGCCAAGCTTCCGTTGAGGAGGCTTAGGAAAAACACTGACTTTGTTCTGCCTGCTCTACCTTTGGATGAATTTCCGATGGATGCTTTAATCTAGCCCCTTTGAGAGCAGCGCTCAGAGGCGCAGGGGCGCTCACCTGTTCTGATAACCTGAATCAGGTGCTGGGTATCAATTTGAATCAACCAACAAGAAATGCTTGGAAAACAGCATTCCTGACTGAAGTAGGGTCCTGCTTAGAGGAGAGTCATTGTAACTCAACCAGGCGTACACGGTGTTGTCCTCAACGCCGAGAAGAGACTTACCGTCAGGAGCTTGTGGCCAACTGGCTAAAGTTTCTGCATGGTTCAGGTCTCTCCTTTTCCTCATCCCTAAATGTGGTCTCACAGGCACAGCTTAAGCATGGAAGGCAGGAACTCACAGCTGCTCAAGACAATAAGCCTAACATTGGGACAGTCTTACAGACAGGCTCAGAGTCCTGGCCAGCATTCAAAACCTTGACCAAGCCCTTATTGGCTTTGGAGACTTAGGGAAGCTATTTAACTGTGAAGTGCCAGTTTCCACAGCTAGAAAGCAAGTGCCCACAGTACCAACTTCTTGGGTTTTGGGAGTTGCAGAAGCAACCAATGTCAAGTGTCAAAGGGGAAAATGAGGCATTCTAGTGTGTCTTCCTGGTGGTTTGTCTTTTGTGTTCTCATTTATGATTTCATCTAGATTTTAAGGCTGTCAGAAAGACAGGTTGCATTGGGCAATTAGCCTTGGATCTTGCAGAGGGGGTCGGGGGGCAAAGGAACTATTCACTTTGCCAGGGTAATTACATTAATTAGTAAGGCAGAGGCATAGGAGGGCAAGACAGTCAGCCTGCCTCAGATAGGATCTGAATGTGCTTCTTCAGGGTTGACCTTGGGCCCCCTTTATTGCACAACCTTTGTTTGGGGGAAGCTTGGGCAGGCTGTGGGATGAACTTCTGGGTCATCGTTAGGGCATGTACTTTTTGGAAGTCAATTCCTTGGACCTTTAGGGCACACAAAGTATTGCTAAAACAAACATAACACAGCACAACAAAAAATTGAACCCAAATGCAAACAGCTTTTGGGGGTGCATTTGACTAAAGTGAATATCACAAGTGTAAACTCTTGCTGAAAGCAGTTCCCTCAGCCCAGCAATGGCAAACTGTGCATCTGAGAGCTATATGAACAAGTTGGCCTGCCAACCTGGTTCCGTGTGGGTACAGGGGCTGAGGTGCCTGCCCTGTATGTTTCAAACCCAGTTTCCAGAGTATCAGAGATCTTGGCCAGTGTGTCATCCCAACCTGTCCCATAAATTTTAAGTGACTTTTTCACACCCGAAGTGACTGAGCTTAGGTGAAGAAACCTGATTCAGGGACATCTGTTCTTTGTCTAAAGACATGGCCCTCATTTCTCCGGGACATGTAGTAGCAACAGTGAAGCCTACCTGAAAATAGTGACTGGATTCTGTTAGATGGTATGACTGAGATTTCAGGCTGTCTGCCACGCACATTCACCATGTTGCACATTCACCATGTTCCGTGTGGAGTCAGGTGTGAGTAAGGCTCCTAGAAGAGACAGAGGAAACTGTTCCTGGGTCAGGCACCCCACTCCCTGGAGCTGTCATCATTTCAGGGGGGACCAGCACAGCTCAGTGGGGCTTAGTTCATTAAAATGAGTTGATCCCAGGCAGAAACACTTGTTCCTGCCGTTACATCCAGGAGAGGGGGGGGCAGGGAGGGAGAGAGAGAGAGAAAGAGAGAGAGAATATGTAAGAATGTGTGTATGAGTGTGTGTGTATGAGTATGTGTGTGTGTGACAGAGAGAATATGAAAGTGTATATGTGTGTGTGTGTGTGTGTGTGTGAGAGAGAGAGAGAGAGAGAATAATAGGTAAGTGTGTGTGTGAGAGAGAAAGACTATGTAAAAGTGTGTGTAAGAGTCTGTGTAAGAGAAAGTATGTGTGCACACGCGTGTTTAAGAGAATATGTGTGTGTAAGAAAGGTGTGTGTATGTCTGTGTGTGTGTCTGTTTGTGAGAGTGTGCTTGTCTCTGTGTGTGCCTCTGTGTGTGAGAGTATATATAAGAGAGGGCAGGGAGGGAGAGAGAGATAAATTATGTAAAGTGTGTGTTTGCTTTCATATGTCTGTGTGTATAGCGCATATGTGGCTATACACATTCATCTTGGTGAACCTGTGGAGACCGGAGGAAACCTTTGGGTGTTGTTTCCTTGGACCTACTCACTTTGTTGTTTGAGGGTGTCTCTCACTGCCCTGGAGCTGGCAGAGTAGTGGATTGGCTGGCCAGCCCCAGGAGCTTACCTGACTCTACCTCTAGTGCTTCAGTTACAAGAGCGTGTCCTACCTGAGGATCAAACTCAGGTCCTCCTACCTGTACAACATATTAACTGAGCCACCTCCCAGCTGCCACCAGCCGATGTGTTTGAAGTCATGAGGTATGTCATACTGAGCCTAGAACTTTAGAGACTCGTTCCCTAATTTGGCCCTCACCTCTTAGAGAAAATAACATATCAGCCAGTGAAGAGTTGAGCGTCACAGCTGGACGGCATCTCCGAAGTCTATTTGGAAACCCATTGCTGCTGGAGAAATCCAGAATCT